AGATAGATAGATAGATAGATAGATAGATAGATAGATATTTCTTTACATAAAACTCTTCCCCAAATTATTTTGTTTTTAATTCAATAGCACAATAAAGCACATATTAATGCCTTGTTCTGCATGACAATATTCTAGATCTCTTAATCCTAAACCCCATACCTAACTACCTTACTAACTATTAATAAGCAGCACATTAGGAGTTTATCGAGGCAAAAGACGTAGTTAACAGTTAGTTCATAGAATTTGACCTTAAAATAAATTGTGACCAAAATATAGTATAGCATTGCATGCTTCCAGCATTAGATAACGTAGTATTGAACGCACGCTGGGGAGTATTTTGTACATAGAAGGCCTTGTTAGCGGTTGCTTCCGAAGTGTCAGTAAATCATGTTGCTTCAGCATTCCTCAGTGCTTCTGCATCAACATCCCAACAGTAATGCCTTCTATACCGCACCGCTGAGAGGCTTGATTTCTTCCGTGCTCTGCGTCTCTGATGTGTATTCATCTAATCTATACACGCCATCTGTCAAACTATTCCATGTGTGTCCCTGTCTAAACGCAAAGCCCTCTGCTGATTGCCAGCTCCACTCGAGCTTCCGGCAGGCGTTCCTCTTTCTGCCAGCTGATGCAGTGGTGTGGTATTTGGAGAATTCTGCTCTCTGACCAAACTACAGACTCTTGGCTTGGTTCCTGTCCTCATCTAAGCCTCTTCCCAAATAAGGCTTTGCTTTAACAAAGAGCCGAACCAGAAACCTTGAGTGCAGAGCGGAGAGGAGGGTGGGCTTGAGAAAAACAGCGTGTCCTTTTAAGGTGTCAATTTCCTTTTCTCTGCACCCTCTCACCGAATGCCTCGTTTTTTATTTCTCTAATGGAAAAGACATCTCATCTGGAAACAGCGATACTCTGCTGAACATAGTAAAGCTCCAGAGTGACTGGTGTCTGTGTGAACGACTAAGTCATCTTCATTTTCACTAGAGTAAGTATTATTTTTTTTTTCATATGCTTTCAATTCCAAAGTCCTTTCAGTCAGTTATTTTGCTGATTATTGTGGCTTTTAAATGACATAAAGTAATAATCAATGTAACTCTATATGCTCTACAATACATAATCTTAAAAAAGACCAAACCTGAAAAAATAGCTTAATGCAGGTGTTAAATTTAGTATTTTTGGTCTTTTTCGTGATTTTTTTGATTGCAAGTAGTTATCGAGTTCTCTTGAGTGTTTCTGTATTATTTGAACTTTTGATATGTAGCGTGAGCTTCTTCTTTGTTGTGACCTCATACATTTTAATTACAGCGTTTGTATCAAACACATATCTTTCTTCATAAACACTTAATGCAGACCTAGCCTATTCCAAATGCCCTACAATTACATTATCACTGATGCAGAAGAAAACTAAGGCACACAGATCAGGGTGAGAAAAGACTGTGGGAAGAAATAAATAAATAATAGTGATAATATACGTAACTAAATATAATATTATTTATATGTTTATAATGATATTTATGTGTGATAGATAGATAGATAAAGTGGAGACTAAATTAATCAACCAGTCAGCTTCATGAACAAGCCAACCTGAACAGTGAGGATAAATGCTCATATTGGGTGTAGATTACAAACACCTAATGCAATATTGCAATGTAAAAGTATATTGAAACTTAAATGACACTTACAAATGTGTAAATGTCATTGTATTAGAAAATATTAAACAAGCACTTTAAGTTTTGCATTTTTCTTTTACTTCACTTTTCTGACCTATCTTTAAATTAATTGTTATCTAGTGGTCCCATTTTTTTTTCTGGCTTGGTTATTGTGTAATCTAATGCATAATGTATATAAATATCAAACCAGAAGCCATTAACATTTGATACATTTATACTGACAGTTTTAAACATTTTTAATTGTGGCTTCATTGTCTGTTTTTATAATTTAATTTAATTTAATTTAATTTAATTTAATTTAATTTAATTTAATTTAATTTAATTTAATTTAATTTAATTTAATTTAATTTAATTTAATTTAATTTAATTTAATTTAATTTAATTTAATTTAATTTAATTTTATCTAATTTTATTTAATTTTATTTTATTTAATGAAATGAAATTAAAGTAAAAATTAAATAAAATTAAATAAAATTAAAATAATTAAATTAAATTAAATTAAATTAAATTAAATTAAATTAAATTAAATTAAATTAAATTAAATTAAATTAAATTAAATTAAATTAAATTAAATTAAATTAAATTAAATTAAATTAAATTAAATTAAATTAAATTAAATTAAATTAAATTAAATTAAATTAAATTAAATTAAATTAAATTAAATTAAATTAAATTAAATTAAATTAAATTAAATTAAATTAAATTAAATTAAATTAAATTAAATTAAATTAAATTAAATTAAATTAAATTAAATTAAATTAAATGTTTTGCTATTTGTCCACAAATTAATAATTAGAAAAAAAAAAATTTAATTAATTTAAAAAAGGTGCAGATGTTTGCTGTAATGCTCATAGGGTGAATGACTTTAAACTCATTCCTTAAGGTTGGGACTTCAGAGGAACGTGGTAAAGCACAGAATGGCAGCACAGGTGAAGGTGCT